TAGATCTAAGTTGAATAAGACACCCTATAAAGTTCTTAATGGTAGAACACCCAACCTCTCACATCTACATGTATTTAAATGTAAAGTATTCATACATAATAATGAGAAAAGTCTTTTAGGAAATTTGATCCCAATTTTGATGAGAAAATTTTTTTCGGTATATTCAAGTGCTGGCAAATCCTATAGAGTTTTTAACAAAAAGACATTGGTAGTTAAGGAGACCACTCATATAGTTTTTTATGAATATGATATTTCAAGAGGGTCTATGTTAGAAGAAGAAGATGTTGAAGAGAATCCCCAAGGAATTGAAAATATAAATCTTGAAGAAAGGGTAGAAGCTAAAATTAAGTTGTCTAAAGAATGGAAATATCCTAGGAGTCATCCTAAAGAACTAATTTTAGGAGACCCTAGTGAAGGTGTCAGGACTAGGCATGGGCTTAGCAAAGAAGTGAACCACTCAGCATTTATTTTAATGATAAAACCCATAAATATAAATCAAGCATTTTTTTGATGAGTTTTGAATTTTAGCTTTGCAAGAAGAATTGAGCCAATTTATTAGAAATGATGTTTGAGAGTTGATAGAAAGACTTAAAGATCAGTGTTATTGGAATTAAGTGGGTTTTCAAAAATAAAATGAATGATTCAGGAGTAATTGTTAGAAAATAGGTAAGATTGGTAGCTAAGGGCTACAATCAAATAGAAGGAATTAATTTTGAGGAGACTTTTGCCCCTGTAGATAAACTTGAAGCAATAAAGGTGCTTCTAACTTTTGTCTATTTTAAAGGTTTTAAATTATTTCAAATGGATATTAAAGTGCTTTCTTAATGGGGTGATAAAAGCATATATTTATGTTGAGCAACCTTTAGATTTTGAAAATTTATAGTTTCCTAATCATGTATTTAAATTGAAAAAAGCACTATATGGACTAAAACAGACACCTAAAATATGGTTTAAAAGGTTAAGCATTTTCCTACTGGAAAAATATTTTGTCAAAGGAAGTGTAGACACCACTTTATTCATAAAAAGAGTAGGAAATGGCATTCTTATTGTTCAAATTTATGTTGATGATATCTTATTTGGATCCACTAACAAAATCTTTGTGATGACTTTTCAAATACGATGAGTTGTGAATTTGAAATGAGTTTGATGGAATATTTGAGTTACTTTCTTAACTTTAGCATAAAGTAGAAAGAGGATGGCATATATTTGAGTCAATCAGTATATATTAAGGACATCCTTAAAAAATATGAAATGGATAAATCTAAACCAATAAGTACACCAATGAGTTCCTCAATATAGTTAGACAAGGATTGTAAGGGCAAATCTGTTGATCAAAAAGAAACTTAGAAGAATAATTTGATCAATACTTTACTTAAATGCTAGCAGACCTAATATTATATTTAATATTTGTCTGTGTGTTAGATTTCAAGCTGATCTAAAAAAATATCATTTAATTGTTGTTAAAAGAATTATGAGATATCTTTTAGGAACTCAAAACTTACGAATATGTTAAAAACTCTATAGGATTTTGTAGGGTGTAGGGTTGATAGAAAGAGTACTTCTAGAACTTATCAATTCATATGGAACTCTTTAGTTTTCTAGTCTAGCAGAAATTAATATTCAGTGGCTCTTTTTATAGCTGAAGCAGAATACATAGCCTTAGGAAGTTGTGTGGCACAGGTTCTTTGGTTAAAATAATAACTCATGAATTTAGGTTTTTCAGTTGGCATTATTCCAATCTTCTGTGATAATACAAGTGCCAACCCTATCCAACACTTAAGGACCAAGCATATAGATATAAGGTATCACTTCATTAGGGACTATGTCTCCAAGGGAGATATTGAATTAAATCATGTGTCTACTAAAATTAACTTACATACATTTTCACAAAATCACTTTCTTTTGAAATGTTTAGCACCTTAAGAATCAGATTGGGTGTTATTAATATTTATGCTTGAGATTTGTAATTCAGTAAATTCCCTTTGTGGTGTATTTTATTGTTGATGCTCATGTTTTGTTTGTTGTTTGTGATTTATCTTTATTTGATTTTTGTTTTTCTCTATTTTGGGTTTGATTTCCCTTTAGTATTATTTTTATTTTTGTTTTTGTGTCTCGTGGGTCTTTTTTGACTTATTTTTTAAAAAGAGTCATGATTATCATGTGCAAATCTAAAAATTCCTTTCACTTGTACTATACGAACCACTTTTGTACTATAAGATATCACTAGATTTTGCATGATAATTTTTCTAAGTTTGTAAGACAAAAATATATTTTTTGTATACAAATCGTACTAAACGAACACGTCATCATACCTTATGAATACTTCATTTATCTTTTATACAAATAAGTAGGAAATTCGAGTGCAGTTATTTTTGAAGATCGTCCCGGACGAACACCTATTTGTTTGTACGATCCTGTTGTCATTCTATATGTGGACAAACCTAACTGCCAGAGTACGAGCATTATTGTTTGATCATCCCGGACAAACACCAATTCATCTGTATGATCATTTTGGTCAAAAAGCTGGATTCCTGAGTTGAAACTTAGTGCACTTGTATTTGTTTATCAATATTTTTAACAAGTGAATCATATTAGATTTGCATGTCATAACAAATGAACTGTATCAAATATGCATGTTATAATAATTGGACTATAACAAATATAAATGTCATTCTTTTTTTTCTAGACTTGATGCAACAACTATGTATCGATTTCTTCATTTATTATCTTACTCATCTTAGAAAACATGCCTCAAAATATAAAAATACCCAATGAAAATTGAATATTATTATATTAACATGTGTAGAATGAGAAGAACTATAATATATACTAAAAGTTACATGGTGAAAGTTTGTTAAATATTGAGATATCATAACTTCTTATAAATTCTAAGCAAATTAAAGTCCAGAAAGCACACAAATTAAAATCATTAAAATCAAAGGTATGTTAATGGTAGTCTACCTTGAGACAAATAAATTTCCCAATTAGCCTAGCATGCAAAATTGATTTGAAAACTATCAAATATACCTACTCTCTCTTCCTTTCCTATTTTCTTCCTCTCCAAACAAAATGAGATGAAATGAGGATGCTTATTGGGTTTTGGAAATGGATTTAAATATTTATATTAAATATTAACCTAATGCTGCAACATTACTACTCATAATGTTGTAGCTCCCAATAAGAATTTTTTGGGTATAAAATAGAGACCTTAACATCGCAACACCAACTATTTAATGTCGCAATGTTAACTCCATAACACCCATCCAACAAAAAGGTCAGCGCTGTAGTGCCACCATTATAGCGTCGTAGTGCTCCCATGGAGAAATTTTCGTACATGCATAATTTTTTTTCAAAAATATGAAATTACATGAAATTCCTTGTTGGGCTAGATCAGGTCACTACGAGTAGTCTAACTACTACAAAAGTGAGAGCGATCAAGTCATTACAAGATAAGTTTGAGAGGGAGAGACTCACCTTAGTAGACCTCAACCTAAGGAGTTACTCACTTGACCAATTCCATCATCCGTGAAGAACTCACTTTTCAAGGTGATCATTTTAGAAGGAGCTCATTTCCACCAAAAAAATAGCTAGCCCCATCAACAAGAGACACTCACCTACCTAAACATTACTATAACTACTATGCCTGCTTAGTCAACATCGTGATCTAGGAGGCAATAATTAAGGGCACTCAACGAAGGCACTCATAGGAGGCTCTCATTAGGATTCGAGCCAAGTTAGATATGACAAGATACATGTATTCATACTATTTACTCCACGTATATGTAATATTTAAATATTATACTATTTATTACTTTTTAGTCTTGACATCTCTTGTAGCATTCCCAACTTCATAAATAAATAGATGACATGCATTTTGGGGGGGGGGGGGGGGGGGGGGCTCTTAACCACCAAAGTTTATGATATTAAGCATAAATAGATTTTCTTCTTATTCGTGCACTCTATCTCTTTCTCTCTTTCTCTCTCATCATCTATAATACTCTGATAGTAAGTTAAGGTGTCTCCTATAGAAAATTTGGATTCAATATTTATGCTTCTTTGAAAATTTTTCTGTGGAAATTTTACCTTTTTTATTTTGAAGATTTTTTAGATGTTTTATGCTAAAATTGTAGTGGCTATGCTAATGGAGGGCATTATAACCTTACTGGGACGGCGTTTTCTAAGGGGTACCAAAATCATAGATTGGGACGCCATAGTGTTTGCATTATTGCTGAGTAGTATGCGATCATAAACTCACCTAACTCTTGAGTGATTTCCTTCCGAGATTTTATTTGGATTTTCATTTGCTTTGTTTTCTCAGGACAATGACTCAATCGACTTGAGTTTCACTCAACAACATCTTGAATTCTTTCAGGGAGTTCCATTATGGCTTTCAAATCTTTTGGTTTACTACCATGTCATGGAGTCTACTATTTCTTGATTGCCCCTCCCCTCCTTCATCAAATAAGTTATGGAAATGATTGGTTGACTAAAACACTTCTTAAAAAGATTAAAGCTCTTAAAAAGGCTATGAATGAGGAAAAGGTGGAAGAGGAAAAGTTTAATATGCAACTTGCCATCATTTAGATTCAATACTCATACAATTTAAAAAATAATATACATAATAAAATTCATAGTATAAAACAATATGTCAAAAATATTCAAATGACAAAAAAAAAAGTCATTCATGCTTAAAGACTTCAATATTATTGAATTTGATATGCAACTTCATGGATTGATCTTACATGTATTAATTTACTAAACAATTTTTATGATAAAATATATGATATGCACTATGGATTATATTTATCTCCAAATATTCTTGAATATCTCTTTACTTCTCCATAAGATCTATTTAATATGTGCAATCTATCTAAAAATCCTTGTAAATTAATAAAAAAATCATCTATCCCATAACAAATATATTATTAAATTAAATTTAATTATAAATAAAAAATATAATTTATATAGACATATTCTTAGAATTTAAACATTCCAAAAAAAAACCCTTCCTCTGTATCTCTCTTCTTTTTCCTTGCTTAGCCAAACGGCCAAACCTAAAACCCCTGTAGCCAATCTCTCCAACTCAGTAAAACCCTTGCGTAACTTTCTTCTCTGCCCTTCGCTTCACCATGTATCGCACTTTAGCTGCTGCGGCTTCTTCCGTAGCGAGGTGCGCATTCGATCTCCCATCCCTTCTCTTGTTATAGCAACTAATTCATGGTAGCTTCTGATCCTAAAATGTCACTTTTTCTCCTCCTGTTTCTCGTAACAGGGCTTCTGCTTTCAAGAATCGGGTAAGAAAGAGGTGCGTTTTTTGTCTTGCTTCTCTTTCTTCTCATTCTTCTGCTAAGCGTATCCAATTTCGCAGGTGCGGGGTGGTAGAATCCTCTTATGTAGGTCCTATTCGGCAAAGGATGTCAATTTTGGCGTTGGAGCTAGAACCTTGATGCTGCAGGGTGTCAATGAACTCGCTGAGGCTGTGAAGGTCACCATGGGGCCAAAGGTAAGTTATTTGCGAATAACATCCTGAGGCCATTCGGTGGGAATTTCAAAATAGGCTTTTTATGTATTCTTTTTTGACAGTCATTGTTTGATGTCAATTAAAAAAAAAATGGTACTTGTAATTCGTTATGAAAGCCACTGGAATATGTATTTGATCAAGTGCAAGAGGTTTTTGTCGGAATGGTCAAGAGTTTAGTACAAGGTAGTGGGTGTTTAGTATGCATATTCATGTTCTATATTTTGAATAAGAGTGTTCATTCTGACCTTGTTGGATAACATATTGTTTTAACCCTGAGTGGTTTGATCAAGTGATGGATCAATCTTAAGTTCAAACTCACTCTAAGGAGAAGTTTGGTTATTTGTAATTCATAATGCAGTGCATTTTAGCATGCTATTCATTTCGTAATTCCGTGCCTGTTGGTTCATTGACTTGTCCTTTCAAAAATGTAGTGTGAATTAGAATTATGCTATTTTATTTGATGTATTGTGAGTTTGAGAGTGACGCTAAATGGGTTGGCAGGCTTACTTCTCATTCTAAAACTACAGGATTAGTTTTTCAATATACAATTTAATTCAAAATGAGCATCACCTTAAAAGTATATAATCTGTATATTAAAAATTAGTAATATCAGCTCATCAATATAAATACTACAAAAACAACAACAACCACCTTTATTTACTTTGCTTGGAATAATAATAGCAGTATTGAAAAGGGAGAAGTTATGAAAAACTTAATTTTTAGGCTCTTATCTCCATCATAAAATAGGGTCATTTTGCTCATTTCTAATTGAAAAGATGAAATAGAACCAAGGTTAATATTTAATGATAGGAAGCAAACTGAAATCCTATAATTGAGTCGAGTCTAACTTGATTGGGATAAGATCTTAATTCTATTAAGAAGATCTTTGTATAAGTTTTAGCCGAGCCTAAAAATAGATAATACATAAGTAATGGTATTTAATTCTCAAGCGAGGTGATACAAAAGTTTATTTATGAAGAGAAAATGCTTTTTAAGAGTGACAAAGAAGGCATACTTGAGGCTCATAATGATTAGATTAAAGCTAAAATCCTAGCAAAGAAAATTATAAGCAAAGTAAAAGCGAAAAGTCTTAATGATTTATATCGGGTTAAGTAATAAGGAGAAAGTATATAATATTTATGGAGTCGAGCTGGAGGCTGTTTGATCTCAAGTTTGTTTACCCATAGACTGTTCGATCTTGGCCAAAGCTTGATTTGAGCTTTTATGATAATATTCAAACTTGGTTCATTTAAATCTAAACTTGCTCATGTTTGATTTGAGCTTAGCTTGAGTTTGATTTGCTTTATATTTATCGAGCTTTAAATGAGCCGCTTGTTTAGACATTTATCGAGCCAAGCTTTTTTTATGCTTATTGAGTAGCTCATTTGAAACCTTTATCTTTTATCAAGCTTGTTAAGCTTCAAAATTAAAATTACATTTTATTTTTCAATCATTTAAAATTTTGTTATATTTTTTAAAAGTTTAATCAAGTTTGTATTCCAACAAGGATACAAGTTTGCAACCTCACCCAACCATGCAACTAAAGCTTGTTTTCAAGTTTTTGTACCTCAACTATATAAACAATATTATTTAGAGCATTATGCTGACGTGGGACTAAAGGGCATAGCAAAGTGAGGAGAAAACCAAATTGTGAGGTAAAAATTGAGACATCAAACTTATCTAAATCCTTGTAAAGATTTATTTTTCATTTAATTTTAAATATAGATTTATTTTATTAATAATATTAAAATTTTTAATCTATTTAATAATTCATTTTTTATAATTAAATGATTATTATTAGTATTAATTAGGTTTATAAATTACTTAAAGAGCCTTAAAATTGATTATTATATCAAGCTTTAATATCAAGTATATGATATCAAGCTTTCTATCGACTCCTTATCGAGATTGTTAATGAGTTTTTTTACAAGTTTTAAATGTAACGTTCATAATCATAAACAAATCAAGGAACACTTGTTCATTTAACAACTAAGTATTTATAAAAGTGAGAGTTGTTTATAGGGCAAACATGGAAGCTTCATGTGCATGATACACTAGGGACACGCTTTATACATTTCCAATACATTTCCATTCAAAAGTTTTTGGGTTTGGATCAATAATATTTGGTCTGGTTTGGTATTACTTAAAACACCATTTCAATTCCCATCAATGTTTCATGTCTTCGGTTCCTTATTGATCTCAACTATATGCACTTGTCCTAATTCAACTCTTTCCTTTGTATGTGAGCTCTTTCCATCTTGATGAGCTTTCATGCATTGCTTTTATTCACCAAGCCTTCTCTCTTGAGCCTATGGCTCTTTGCCATTTCTCAGGCCACCACTGTTCATATTCCAATCCCATGCTAGAGATATGGAGGTTAATGCGAACACATACATTTCTCTTATCGTTCACCGCACCTGTTGGGGTTTTTTTGTTGACCTGATTTTTTTAGCTTAACCCATTGAGCGTGTTTGTTTTCATCCGATTGAGCATATTTGAGTTCGATTGGACTCGATAGTGCTAGACCAACCTGATCGAAATCTGTCGAACCCAATTCGATTTAAATCGGCGTCGATTCAGGTTCAACTTCATCATATCGCCTTAATCGGGTCAAATCAAACTCAAATAAACCCTAATTAGATGTGAGTTCAATCCAATTGAGCTCGATCAAACCTAAATTAGGTCAGATTATATCCATTTGAGTTCAATTTCATCAATTTGACTCGATCAGACCAAATCGATTTAGATCAAGTCTGACTCAGACTCAATTTCAGCCCATTTGACTGAATCTGGATTTAATGAAATTTCAATTAACTTTTCGATCAATTTAAATACCTTCCCAAGTCAGGAAATTCAGTCCAACGGTCTCGGATTAATCGAAATCTCTTCTACTCGCAGAAGTCGAGTTCGAAGCTGAAGATTCAGCTTCTCTGAAAGTTAATGGTTTATTTGATAATTTGACATTGTGATTGCACAATCGTCAACTAAACTTTGCTTCAGTGTAAGACAAAATTCATTATCATTCATGTAAGAGATAAGCTAAGCGCACTAAAGAGTCCACGTTCTCATGTCTATGAAAACATTGAATAAGATTTTTAGAGTGAGTTAACTGTTTTCTTTTCATTGCAATTTCTCAATCATAGTGACTTATCACCCTTAGTACGTGTGGAGTATGAATAACATTAAATGACTAAAGATTAGATCATTCTAAACTTTACCTTATTGCTTTGAGGCATTCCTTTTTGTTTTAATATTTAATCTATTCATTAAATATGTACATAAATAATTTTGGAATCAGGTGGTTTGGTCAGCCGATTTCATTAAATGCTTAGTTAATGATATGCACAATTACATTCATTATGCCCCCTAATTGTCTTGTATGCTCTCATCTAATTCATGAACATGTGTCAAACTATATATAAGGGTTTATTTGTAACTATCAATGGATGATATGGTTAAAAAAAGGGGAAGGGCGCTTATGTAATTTTTATGCTTTATTTAATGATATAATTCCAACATATACGTTACATTTGCATGCATTTAATGGAATCATGGTCCAAATAAATAAATAAAAATTCAAAACTACTGGGATTATCTTCATAACTTACGGATAGTGCATTGATTTCACATGTGTAATTTGAACAAGGTTCTTTCTATGATTTTCACATATAATATTAGGCTTCCAATTCAACATATACATTACATCATATATATGTCAATCCTGATGAGTTAGTTGCATTCATTTGCATGTATTGTTCAATGTGTATGCATTACATAATCCTTATCGCCACATCTTTACCTTGATGTTCACTCATGATTATTATTAATCGACTTGCTTAAACATACTCTATTTTTGTTACTTGTGAGGATCTTACTTTCATGTCTTGGTTGGCAAGTCAAGTTTTCCCGGGCCTCTAGAGAGGCCCCTTCGTTGTGTTGGGGTATACGCATATGCCCCTGCTTGTTTTTGACAATGTATAATTTATGCAACTCTGTTAAGACCTTCTCTCTTATTGTGACTAATGGTAACACTTGTACATACTGTGAACTGTTCTTTTACTTTCACCCGCTGATATATGGTAGGACCGTATTATAAATTAGCTATAGGTTAGTGCACTAACGAAGCCTTGGCCTTGGCCAAGGCTTGCTTTCTTTATAAACCTTAGAGATCTTCATATGGTCTCCTGAGCCTGTAGTGTAAGCCAACTATTTGTGTCATATGCATCATTGTTTTTTTGCATGAAGGGGATCTTACTATGATGCTCTCTTTGGGTTTTAAAATACTGAAGCAACGATAAAAGTCATCTTAATGATTTTTGGGCCTTTAATTCTTATTTCTCTGAACATAATTAAGAATGTGAAAATCAAAAAATAAAATATGAGCTTTAGTATGTTAGGTTGATCTATGTATTGATTTTGTATAGTGGTTCTTTTTGCTGGCAATATATTAGACTCTATTGTCTCAGTCTAGTATAAAGCCTATGTTCAAAATTTCATTTGTTGTGGGTACTAGATAAAAAAGGAGAACTATTTGAAACCTTTTATACCACTCATCCCATCATCAGTAAGGTTATCAAAATAAATAAAATAAAATAAATAAAGTTAATTAAACAACTTGGTGATTGTTGAGTAACTCGGGTTTACGAGGCTATTAAGTTAGCCCCAAAGAGGGTAAAATAAACCTCATAGCTCTAGTGTAAACAAAGTCAATTGTAACTTAACTTAAATAATTAATTGATAAATCACTGATTAACTAATTAAGTTAATCTAAATCAACAAGCTAAATCAAACATAAATTAAAAGATAATTACTGGGTAATTTGGGCTTACGAGGCTACTAAGTTTTTCCCAAGGAGGGTGAAATAAATCTCATAGCCATGGTTTAACAAAGTCTATTATTATTCAACTTTAATAATCGATAATAAATTATTAATAAATTGAAGCTTTCATAACCTTTGTTATATTCAATTTGTAGAATAAATGTGTATCTGATTCATAAGACTTTAAGGGTTAAAATGACTAACAAATCTAATGTATATGTATATCTTTTATATCACCCATTTGGTTAATGAAGTTTATATGTTGGACTATCTCGAGCTGCGAGGCTACGTGTTGTAAGAAGGCCTTGATCCTCATGCCCATTATGAGAACATCATGAATGAATTGATGGAATATAGTTATTAAATTGTAAATTTTACAAAAAAATTTATTTTAAAAAAAATATTTTTAAATATAACATGTGGTGTTAGAGAAGCGAAGGAATTGCAAGTCAAACCTTAGTACTTTAGCCCATATCTTATTTGTGTTTATCTTTGTATCCCTTTAATTCATGTAAGATAGATAGGCTAGACTACCTCGAGTTGTGGGATTATGCATCCTAAGGAGGCCTCTTCCTCGTGCACGTATCTCATAAGTTAAGGAAGAAAGATCTAAAGGGTTGTACAATCTGTCCCCTATTTAGAAATTTAAAGTCACCTTTGGGAGCCCGATCCAACTCCTTAATCACCCAAGTGTCAAACTTTAAGTCAAATATAACCCTTATATGTCCTTAAGTAGAGGGTTTTCCAATTCCTATATCTTCCTTTTAAAATTGATCAATCTTAGACATAGGAAGCTTATGATTTTTATGGTGGGCAATAGGTCTGCTTTAGTGAGTCTCCTATCGGCCTTATCTCAAGTCTTATGAAATCAAGGAGGGCTTGGCCACCCATGTAGCCTCATAATCACTTTAGTCTTAATTAGATATATGATTGAGGATGGGCATTTGACTCTCAATTCTTTACAACTCTAGCATTGTCAGGACCATATATTTTGGCTCTTTATAACTTAATGAGGAAAACTACAACTCTAAAATTAAGTTATAATTAATTCATCATAAATAATTAATCACTTAAAGAGAATATCTGGGTTAATAAATTTAACAATATAAAATTAACCTTACAACTTGAATCCTTCACCTAAATTGGGGTAGTTAGTCGACACTAATTTTACACACACTTAGGTGCTTGATATGACATTTTTATAGGCATCTTATGATAGGGTGTAGCTATGATAACATTTTCATTTTTATTTTATTTTTTACTTTGTATTTATGATACTGTGATGTTGTGTTTCTGGTTTGGATTGTTTATGGATGTTTTGTTTTCTATTTTGTGGATTGATGTATGGACACTTGTCCTTACGTGGTTAGACTTTATAGAGATATTTTCTATAGGTGGCCACGTTCCTAAGGGGTTAATAAAAATGCTATAATTATCATTATAAATACGCTCTATGACAGGTACTACGAGGATTGCTAAGCCCTTGAGAATGTGGTCCTAAGAACTAGGTCTGGATATGAAAATAACTATCTTATTTTAACTGTACTAACCTCTGTTTTGTAGGGAGCGTATGTAATTTTCTTTTTTATATGTACTTTTAGTTAGGAAAATCATATAGGTATCTGGGTAATTCAGAAGGCAGGAGGCCAAATATGTGAAGATCGATCATGATCCCACATATATTCCATTAATGTATAGTTTTAGGCTGAGTTGTGGTTATGATAGAGTTCAACTACCATTTTTTTCTTTTTCCTTGGGTTTATTTCAGAACTCAGTTGCACTTCATTTACTATTTATTCTTTGATGATTGGTGTGTTTATGTTATTTGAGTACTAGAATTGTATAATTTTTTTAGATTTCTTTCACTGTTTTTCTTGCGGGTAGCTCAGACAGAGTCCATACGTTAAGTTCTTAGGATGTTAATTTTCTATAAAAGTAAAATTTGCCTAATCAAGATAAAATAAACATAGGGCTTAAAATTAACTAACCTTTTAATATTAATGCATCCACTCTTGGGTAAATCTATTAAAATGTAACTGATATTTCAAACCCAATCCATTTCATAGTGGTTATCGGCTAGTTTTGATTAACCCTACCCTACCCTTCATCTATAGCCTGAGTCAAGCATGTAGATTTTATTTTATCACATAGAGAGAGTTCATCATTGCATTGGCATAATACTATTCATGGTCGGGCCTGTGGCCCATTCCTCTTATGTACACCACTCTTGCATTTGCATTAGCCTGTACTGCATGGATTTAAAATGTTAGGTTGAGTTTTAGCTGTACTCTTTTTCAAGCATGGTGGTAAATCCAGGTCGGTCTTCTTAGGTCCTTAGTGGAATTTAAGTTAAAAGTCCCCTCGCTGTCTTGCATTATTAGCTAGGTCGGGAGCATTATTACTGAGGGTACAGTATGTCCCTATAGATCTAGGTTCAAAGGCTAGCGATATGAGTATATCATTACATGCTTTATCGTTGGTAAACTCTTCATTCTTGGGAGGCTATAAATCCCACTTTCACTCTCTCTTTCATGCCTGACGTATGATTTCGCTTTTTTTTATTTCTCCCTTCTGACCGACTGAGTGACTACATGATGTTTGTGTGTTGAATAGCCCGTTGAGCCTATCTTTCTTGGATTAGAAGAATCTAGGAATCTCAATATGCACCAAACCAAGAATAGAATAAAATAGCATATCTAATCGAGAGTGTTTTTATGTCAAGGCCTAAGATGTAATTAATTATGGCGGTTTGCGCCAGTGGTAAACTAACACCCACATTAAATAAATTTCACTCGATTTGATGTATTGAATTGGGGAAATCTCATGATAATCGAATTATATATATCATTATTCATTAAGATGTTTAGGCAAAAGCCACTATTTTCCATGGATAATCATATGTATAATTTTATCTGCTTTTTCATTGGTCTGCTTGTGTATAGTGTTGAAGTCTACGATAATTTTTTCCTATGTTATAATGATGCCTTCATAGACCTTTTCTTTGACTTATCTGCTCTTTCTCTCTCCTCTACTTAAGTATGTTTTTAAATTTCTTCTTCGACCCTAATTTTAGATCTATGAGTCTTTCATGATCTTTTTTATGGCATTAGTGGTACTCTTTTTCTAGGATTTTTGACTTTTTGTGGGCAATATTCTTTTCTAAGGATTTAATGGAACCTATTGTTAGTGTTTTGTTGAAATTTGTTACACTTGATGAAATTTAGTTATCATTTAAGTACTATATATTTTTATATTTTATTGATCCTTAAGTTTTTTTTTTTTTTGAAAGATACTATTGAATTTTTCATTGTGTGTTGCTTTTTAATAGAAAATATTGATATTAAATATTTAATTACCCATTTTATATTAATAATTTATTAAAAATGTTGTCTATGACCTATTTTTATTATTACATTGTATCGTTGAATCTGTACCGTATTCTGTATATTTCATGTTAGCATCTTGTGCATCATACGGACGTGGCTTATGTGAAAAAAGGTTGTATACGCGTGGGCTGCTCCCCCAAACCAACCTCAATATACTTATTAAGTTTTTTAATCATTTCTGAAGGACATAATTCTATGTGCAACCCATTAAATGAATGTCCATTATGTCTCTCCCTAGTTGTAAAAGACCATGGCTTCTAGCTTATGCATTAATTTCAGTGAATTAAACTAAAGATTTATGGCTTCTGACGAGCTACAATTATACTAGACTATGATTTCTAGTTTTATTCTGATGATTGAGATAGAATTGAAGTTATAAATGGAATATTCAAGTTACAAATGGAGTTTTCAAGTTCATTTTTTAGCTCAAGCATATTATGCCAAGTGAAGGTGCTATGGGAGGTGCTGAAGAATAAACTTTATTTCTTTTGTAGTACTAAATCTGTTCTTTGTTTTAGGGTCGCAATGTAATAATTGAGAAGAACCACAAGGATCCTAAAATCACAAAAGATGGAGTCACAGTTGCAAAAAGTATTGAGTTTAAAGAGAGGGCAAAAAATGTGGGGGCAAACCTTGTAAAGCAGGTTGCTAATGCTACAAACAAAGCTGCAGGAGACGGTAAAATATTTCATGAATTTATTGTTGGTGTTTTGAATATTTGCCATTTACATTAGGCCTTGAATATTGGATTTATTACCTATCCTGTTTTATCATCAGTTTTTTTTTTTTTTTTTCTTTTTGTTCAGGAAAAATGTATGCGCATTTAACACCTGAATATTAGCACTATGGTAGGAGTAGACAGAAAATGTGACCCTTGGTTAACAGATGATTGTTTGTCCTTTGGTAAGAACGAGCTTGAAAAATATGTACTGAGTTTGATTAGTTAGAACCCTATCCTAGTTTGACCAGAAAACTCACCATGAAAACTCCAAATTTTACCTTCTATTTCTCTTTAAATTGAAATACACACTATTAGTACCTTTTTAAAGCAATATTATATGTGAACACTGACTTCCTTGTTAATGTACTTTAATTTTTTAATCAAAACTTTCTAATAATGTGGAAGCCTTTTTGGATTTTCTGGTCATATTTGCAGCCAGGGCATTATGTATGGGCATTTTGGTCAAATCATAACCTTTCAATCATCTTATATGGAGTATCTTCCATGAGTTTACCTACACTCATGTCCCAATATTTGCATTAGGAAAACACAAGGATATTGATTATCAAGGCAATGAAGTTCTATGTAAAATTTCTACCTTTAGGGGTAGTTTGTTTGCAAGTATTAGTAGTGTAGAGTTAATCAAACATAGGTGTTTTAAAAATTTAAGTGTTTGGTTTGAAGAAAAGCAAATGTAATAATATTTTGTGTGATTTGGAATTCTCTATTTAGTTTATTTTCAATGTATATGAAATTTATCTTCTTTGGATGAATTTCAAATAATTGTGCATGTGAAGAAGCTTTTCCCCCAATCCCCGACTGCAGCTTGCCACTGCCTCTACTACTGATCATTGTCGTCCACCACCGCCTGCCGCTTTTGCTAGCCATCACTGTTTTCGCTATAGCCCACTGTTGTTGCCTATCGTTGTGTGCCAACCTCCACCAACACCAGCTCCCGCCGCCTCCCGCCTGCCAATTCCGCCTTAACATAAAAATATTGGTTTACTTTGCAAGAAACAAACAGAAAAAGATTAAACTCCTAAATTTCTTTTACTAAGCATCCAAATAATGCAAAATATTTTGAATACATGATTTTACTTTATATTGTATTTTGAATACATCGATTTTTCAAATACTTGTAACTAAACAACCCCTTAGAAATTTCTTTTGCTCTACAGTTTACAAGTCCTCAGAATCCATTGGAAATTAATCATCAATAAAGTTCCCGATTTGGTTGCCAATAGTGACTTGTTTTGGAACAGGTACCACTTGTGCAACTGTCCTTACTCAGGCAATACTTGCTGAAGGGTGTAAATCTGTTGCAGCAGGAGTTAATGTCATGGATTTGCGAAATGGTATAAATATGGCTGTGGATTCTGTCATAGCTCATCTAAAAGGCAGAGCATGGATGATTAGTACTTCAGAAGAGATTACACAGGTTGAGAATGTTGTTGGCATGCTTATAAGTTCAGTTTCTTTGTTTCTCTGTGTTGAAAAAAATTATGCTGATGGCACACCGTTTGATTAACTGACAACAATGCTTTCATCTTTGAAATATGGAACTATATTGAGCTTATTTCATTATCTTTTTGTTCTTTAGTACGTTTTGAGTTAGTTTTAATTTATATTCTATCACTTCATCTTTATGTCATCTGTATCTTTTTGTTCTTATTGGCTCTTGTGAAATTTGATACATTAACTACAGTTTGTTGGTTAATGTGCCCGCATAATCAGGTAGCAACCATCTCTGCAAATAATGATAGAGAAATTGGGGAGTTGATAGCAAGAGCAATGGAGAAAGTTGGCAAAGATGGAGTTATTACCGTTTTAGTCAGGCTCTTCAGAATTTCTATATTAAAAATTGCTTTCTTGGTGTTAATGTCATGATTTAATATCTCTTATGTATCTTAACTAATAGGAAGGAAATACACTGCACAATGAACTTGAAGTGGTTGAGGGAATGAAATTAGCGAGAGGCTATGTATCTCCCTATTTTGTTACTGATGAGAGATCTCGAAAATGTGTAAGTACATTTTATTTATTAGACTATTTTGCCTTGATGATTCTAGAATGTTTCTTTTGCTAAGTGATCTTTAGTCATTTAAGAAAATTAAAATGCTCATCTTGCAAATAAATAATTCTCTCTTATGCTTATTTGCATATCGTGCCAATTAGGAATTAGAAAATCCCCTGATTCTAATTCATGACAAGAAGATTTCAGACATTCATATGGATCATCTAATCCGAATTTTGGAGCTTGCTTTAAAGGTATCATCTTTTTTAGCTTTTGATTATCTCAAAGCATGAACGTAAAAGTGAGCTTTGCATGAACATTGTTATCTAACTACAGAGAAGGAGAGCTTTGTTAATTGTTGCTGAAGATCTAGAAGGTGATGCTTTGACAATGCTTGTATTAAATAAACATCATGCGGGGATGAAGGTAGTGCTATCCTTTATTAAGCACTCAATTTGGAACATGATATTGAATAGAAATATTGCACTAAGAATTTAGCCTTATCGCAACTATTTTTGGTTTGTTGTTTGCTGAAGGATTTGTAACATATAAATGTTAGAATAGCATAGTGCATTATGAATTTTGACTTATCCCAACTATTTTTGTCCCCAGTTTACTCATGGATTTATGAAAAGGAATAAGACAAACAATGTGTGATAGGCGCCACTTTTGTTATCATTTACAATGCTACCGCCTATTTTCATGTTTTCTTAGTTTTTTAAAAGAATGTATCTTGATATCACTTTGATTGGTTGTATAATACTTGTTTTGGCCTCAGATTTGTGCCATTAAAGCTCCTGGTTTTGGTGAAAACAGAAGAGCTAATCTAGAGGATCTTGCTATTCTTACAGGGGGCCAGGTTGGATGCACTTGAAGCAAGAATTCTTATTACTCTTGTTGTGCTCCATCTTTCTATTTAGTGATTTAGTTTTTCTGTACCAAATTTGATGTCCAGGTTATCTCTGAGGATCATGATCTCACTTTGTCAAATGCACAATTAGAAATGCTTGGGACTGCTAAGAAGGTGCGTAAAGCATGGTGTTTTTATAAATTCAAGCTTGTTTAAGAATTTAAAATAAGACTTTAAATTCAAAGATTGTAAGTTTTTCTTTGGCCGTTGAATAAACAGGTTACTGTCTCACTTGATGATACCCTTATTCTGCATGGTGGTGGTGACAAAAAGCTAATTGAAGACAGATGTGAACAGGTAAACTATAAGTACTTACACATGTTGGTTTTCTTCTACAACAATTTTCATGCCTATAATTAGGGGCGCCACTTAGATTAATTTGGATGGGTTCCAACCATCTCAAGTTCTCAAATTTATGTATATTTTTTCATCTGAGCATTGTCCAAAATGGAAAGGAAATAAAAGGAAAAAAGTATTTTTAAACTTCATTTCTTGGGTAAATACTCTTAAATCTTCTCAAGTGTGGGTTCAATGGAGGAAATTGCAAGAGCTGGCACTTTTGTTTCATGGTATCCTCAGTGAAACCCAAATTATCAGAGCACTCGGTGATGGTTAGGTGTCTGATGGTCTCACTGGCAAAAGTATTTGGTTATCTGCAGCCAAAGAAGGGACCAACGAAAGAATCCTTAGTATTGAATTGGGTTTTTGCAATTTGGTCCACCACTCATAGGAAGAATAGTGTGGTGCGTTTATTCATAAAATTGAACTGACAAATGAAATGGTGGGTTTCACTATGGAAATATTGAGGAATATGAATTTATACACACACATACAATTTCCTTTGGTGATTTGCTGTTTGTGCTTTTCTTGTTGTTTGACTACGTCTTCGTTTGGGACAGCTTTTGGCCACAATTTTTTTGTTGCTTTCAAAAAAAAATTATACTAAAAAATTGCTATAGAAAATAGTAAGAAAGATATCTCAAATGAAGTCCAAGTAAATTTTAAGAGATCTGTGAAGTTTGGTGCTTGTTGATTGTTTGAGTTTAGGATTTAGTGTAAGAGAAAAAAATGATATAATATTATTGTGTATAATATTGTATCGTGCTATCACTTTACTGATTAATGGAAACTCAATTACTTTGGTTGTGGTTGAGGTCAAATCACATAAATCTTTGGTATATGTGTTTGGATTTTCTCTTACTTGTTTGTTTTTATTTCAGGCACATCAGTCTTGATCTTGGTGATACTTCCACACCATGTCTTTTGGAGTGCCTATCATTTAATAGATTTGTGTAGGTGGAAACGCTAGGATTTAAGAAGAGGACAACAACACTAGAATACAATGAAACAACTATACAAGAACAACAACAATAAAATCAAACCCCCCATTAATATCCCCATCTATTTCTCAACTTCAACCATCCAACTTGAATTCTACTAATAATATCCCCATCTATTTCACCATCACTCTGGCCAATAGACTAGAGATATTTTAAACGTGTACTCTTAATAATGACTTGATCACCAAAGGTCACAATCCCCCCATTAAATATATTACTACTAAAATTATATTCCATGTATTCGGTTTTAGATCTACTCAAACGAAAACCTTTAGGCTATAAGGTTGTCCTCTATAATTCAAGTTTACCTTCAACTCCCTCTTCAGTCGTATCAACAAAATATCATTAGCAAAAAACATACATCAGGGTACATCCTCTTGCAAATGTCTAGTAAGGACATCTATGACTAAAGCAAAAAGATATGGGCTTAAAGTTGATCCTTGATGTAATTCAACTAAAATAGGAAAATATTTTATCTAACCTCCTTGTGTTTGAGCATAAGTAACAGCTCCTACATACACATCCTTAATGACTTGAGTATAAGCATTATTAATCCCTTTCTTTTCTAAAACTCTCCATAGAACTTTTCTTGAAACTTTATCATAAGCTTTTTTCTAAATCAATAAATATCATATATAGATCCTCATTATTCTCCCTATGCTTCTCCATCAAATGTCTCAATAAATGTTTAGCATCCATAGTAGATCTATCCGACATGAATCCAAATTAATTTTGAGAAGTATTAGTATCACGTCGTAACTTATGCTCAATAACTCTCACCCAAAGTTTTTAAGTATGACAGGTTAACTTAATTCCTCTATAATTCACACACTCTTGTGCTTCACCTTTATTCTTAAAAATAGGAATCAATACCTTCCTCCACTCATCTGTCATCTTTTTAATCTTCAAAATAATATCGAAAGTTTCGTATGCCAAGAAATTCCTTCATCTGCTAAGCAATTCCAAGCCTCTATTAGAATATCATCAGGTCCAGCAGCTTTCTACACTTTATTTTCTTTAAAGCCTCTCTAACTTTGATTTTACTAATACTTTGTTAAAAACAAAAAAAAATTATTTTCATTTAGGGTGTTAAGGTCACTAAAGTAAAGCATATTCTCATAATCTTCATTGAAAAACTTAAAAAATATCTCATCTAGCTTTGTTGAATATCTTTTTTTAATAAAAATATTTTTTAATTTTCATCCTCAATGCACTTCACTTGAACTAAAACCTTTTTATCTCTTTGCTTGGTTAACTTATACATACATATTTCATCTTCCTTAGTATCTAATATATTATGTAAATCATTAAAAACTAAGTTTTTTACATCACATATTACTTTCTTAGATTCTTTATGCCTTTCCAAATTTTTTAAGTTTTTACAACTTAACCAATTTTTATAACAAAAATATTTATTTTTTATCTTTGTTTATACATTTTGATTTCATCACCAACTATTTTACTATTAGGAATTTTTTCTTTTGATCTCCAAGCACATCATTTGTAATAATTTTAATATCATTAGATATTATTTCCCACATAACATTTGCTCCTTCATATACAGTCAGAATCTTAAGATCTTGAATTTTACTTTCAAAAATATTTTTGTTAGTTGTATTTAAATGCCCCCATCTAAACCTAAGATAAAATTTTACTTTAGTTTTCATATTTCAGTCATTCATCTTCAAGTTCAAAACTAATAAGCGATGCTGAGTACGATAACTTTTGCTAAGAATAACAATACAATCTTTGCAATCTAAACAATATATTTTTCTTATAAAAAAATAATCAATTTGAATTTTACTATATCCATTCTTATAAGTGATGAGATGCTATTCTCTTTTGTTAAATAAGGTGTTATCAATTATAAAATCATAATATTGAGAAATATCTAAATAGCCCTACTACCTTCATTAGTCACTCCAAATTTATAATCACAATGAATGCTTTTAAAATCTTCTACCTCTCTACTAACATTTTTATTTAAATCTCCTCTAATAAAAATATTTTCTTCAAGAGATTTTTGGTATTAATTCTTATAAGTCATTATAAAATTTTAATTTTGAATGCATATCCAAAGCTATTTGAGGAGCATAAGCACTTATAATATTAATAATCTTAGCATCAACAACAATCTTTAAAGCTAGAATTCTGTCTCCAATTCTATTATTTTTACCACATTATCCTTCTAACTTTTATCTATAATCATATCTACCCCATTTTTTAATACGACTCTTACCTGAATATCATAGTTTAAACCCTAAACTATCAATCTCCTTAGTTTTCTTTCAATCCATTTAGTTATCTGAATATATAGAATATTTATCTTCCTATGAATCATAATATCTATTAAATCTATTAATTTGAATGTAAGAGAACCTATATTCAAAGTTCTTATCCTAATTCTACTTTCATGGACTAGCTTCTTTGCCCACATCTGTCCGTGATGTGTGAACCCTTGCTTATTTAAAACAGCACCCAGGTGCCAGTACATCGCCCTTGCACACTTCTCACTGTATTCGGGTCATACAACGCATCACTTCCAATGAACGTCATAGCATTAACACAATGTATTAAAGTATTCATTTCATGATTATTCGACAAGTTTTACACTAACTATCGACTACCTAACACAACCCTCTACTTTTCTCATATAGGACTTGTGACTTGGCAACAACAATGTTTAAATTAAACAACTATAAGATAGCAGATTATTTTGTTTATTATAGTTGTTTGATCTCTCAAGAAGATGGCTCTGGAATTTAATTGTTTAATTGAGGAGATGGCAGTGACTTGATTTGAGAATTACATTCTCCATGGTTTGTAGGAAAACTATGATTTTGGAATTCTAGTAGAGTAGATTACGGTATTAAGTAGTTGTGAAGTCTCAAGAGGACATTTTAATGGTGCTAGAATTTGGAATAACAATGTTAGACGCTTGCATTACCCAAAGGAAGATGTTTGCACTAAATTGAGAGAATGTGACCTTGTTAAGGATTATAGAATTGGAGTGTTTACACCATCGCGACTAATAAAATTGGAAAATGCAAGGATTTACGTACTGTCTTAGAGAGAGTTGTCAAGTATGAATATGAGTCTACATGTTTTTTTTTTTTTTGGGACATTTAGGCCATTTAAGGCAAACTCACACACACAACGCATACACAAAGACTCGAACCTTGGACCTCTTAGTTGAAAGCCTAAGCTCTCAACCAATAGGCCAAGGAGAGTTGTGTGAGTCTACATGTTTGAACCGTGAAAATAAACCTATTGCAAAGTATTGGTAAGATTTCATACATTTCCCCCTAGCCCTTGCCTAAAAGGGAGATAACTATGATTAGGTCAATACCTAGTTAAAATAAAATCGAATCAGGTCTCCTACTGGTTTTGGGAATTTAGGCTTGGACCCAAACTTCCAGCATGTTCAAATGTGAAAATTTGGTTGACCTGAGTGGTTTTCTTTCAAGCCTTTGGATCTTTAGTTTCTGTTGAACATCCTCACAAGCAATGACTATTCCAAGAGACAGAGAGACCCAGCACAGGAGATTGCTTGTAGGCATGCGAATTTTCTCCACATGCACTGTATATATATATATCTATATATAGATCCTTTGATGATTCTATTGCTACATTTCTTTGACCATGTAGTAAGTATCTATCTTTGGTTCAGCATGAGATTTTGCATTATGTATTAAGTTGTTGAATTTAGCATTGCTGATTGCATGACTGCCATCTCAAGTTTATGTTTGAGGATTTTGTAGGGTTATGCATTTTTAAATTGTATTTTGGCCAATTGGAGGAGTACTAAGAATTTGGGGTAAAGTAAGGAGAAACAAACATTCTTTTTGCTATGGATGCATATTTTGAGCTAAGGGCCTTATATATATTTTTTTAATGAGCTTCGGCTTTGGTCTTAGAGCCGTAAATGCTTACACTGACATGTTCAACAGCTTAGGACAACAATTGACAAAAGCACTGCCATGTTTGACAAAGAGAAAGCACAAGAACGGTTGTCTAAGCTTTCTGGTGGTGTTGCTGTTATTAAGGTTTGTTATTATTTTTTAAGCATTTCCATTTGAATTATGCATGCGTGATTTCCTTGTAGCTATTTGTTTGCAGGTTGGTGGAACTAGTGAGGCTGAAGTTGGTGAGAAAAAGGATCGGGTTACAGATGCTCTGAATGCAGCAAAAGCGGCTGTGGAAGAGGGTATTGTACCAGGTGAGTTTTTTTTTTTTTTTTTTTTTTTTTTTTTTTTTTTTTTTTTTTTTTTTTTTTTTTTTTTTTAAGGCTATGGTAGTTGGAAGTTGTTTGCTTTACTCTTTAAGATTGCTCTTATTAGGTGGCGGTGTTTCTCTTTTATATGCTACAACGGAATTAGATAGAATCCCAACCAAGAACAGTAACGAGAAAATCGGAGTTCAAATTATTCAGAAAGCTTTAAAGGTTAAACTCATGCTTTGCAAATGTTTAAGCTATCAAAATTTCCGAACTAACAATATAGTTTCCTGCAGGCACCTGCTTATACAATTGCTGCAAATGCAGGTGTGGATGGTACTGTAGTCATTAGCCAACTTCTAGAACAACATGACCTAAATTTTGGCTATGATGCTGCAACAGGTGTGTTTTTTTTTGTATTTGAATGGCAGTTAATTTCTCATCATTATTGCATTAAATATGACTGAGAGTTTGCTACTTGAGGTCTGCTTGGTTGGTTGAAAAAAAAATGCAATGTAAAAGAATTGCAATATCAAAGAATGTTGTGTAAAAGAAATACTTTGATGTTATTTGAATGAGTGTAAAATAAATACTAGTGAATATTTTTTCTTATATAGTTTGAAGCAAGATGAAATTAGTTTAAAATCTAAATATGGAATGAACGTTGGGCAATAGTGGTGGTGGCGAGTGGCGCCGGCAGGTAGTGGCGGTTGATGACGGCGGCGATGGTGGTGGTGGTAGTAGTGGGGGGTGGTTGGCGGTGGTGGGGGTGCCGGCAGTGGTCAGCGGTAGTGACTGGAGGCCGGCAGTGGGTGGCGGAGGTGGTAGTTGGCTGCAGGTGGCGGTGGCAGGCAGCGGGCGGAGTGCGGGCTGGTGGCAAGCAATAATAAGGACAATTATTTTATGTTGTCTTTGAAATTTACTTTAGGGTTTAGGGGAGTAGAGGTATTAGATTTGACTTGTGTTAAGAAAGGTAGGGGTAGACCTAAAAAGACTTGGTTAGAAAATATTAGGAATGACCTTTCTTTATTAGATTTAAACGAGAATTTGACTTTTAATAGGACACAATGGAGAAAAAGGATTCATGTAGCCGACCCCACGTAGTGGGATAAAGGCTTGATGTTGTTGTTGTTGTTGTTGTTGAAATTTACTCAAATCTAAGGAATTCCAAAAAAACCAAAAATGAAGTAGATGGAAAAATTTTACATTGCATTTATTTTAATCCAAAGCTTCAAACCAAACACCACCTGCATTTAAAATGTTTTGCACTCTTTTTACTTTAAATCAAACAACCCCTTAGACTTTCGCCATCTCTTCATGATTTGCAATCTGCTTGTTATCTGAAATTTTTTGTTGTTGGATTCTTATTGTTACTTGTTATTGTTCTTGTTTATGAAAAAACTATTTTTAATAATTGTGGACTCCAAAAATTCGGTCTCGGCCTCCGCCCGCTCTGTTTGGCTTTTGTTATTCGGCGAGGGAGTTTTAACGGAATTAAGTTCCGGAGTAAATTTTGGAAGGCAGATGGGTTTTTAGATAAGCCACTACCCAGAGATTTCTCCCTCATTTTTGCGAGGACTTTATAATCTGAGTTCTAGTTTTCGATAGGCGCAAGCCCCTATAGTTAATTACCCCTCCCGGTCACGAGTGAGAACTTTCGATTAAGGCTAGTCGTTAATCAGATACGTAAAGATACATGTTATCTGGCATATAGTAGCAGCAATGTGCTTGAGAATTGAAAGTTTGAATATTTGGGTTGAGATATTTGAGAAAGATTAATATTTAAAATTAGAAATTTCACCACCTTGCACTTAAAGCGGATGGTGGGGGAATGGATGATAGACCTGATCAAGATCCCATGGTTCCGTCGTCCCGGGTCATCATGGTCCCTGGTCTACTTAGTCAGAGGAGGTAGTCGACCCAACCTGACAGAAGGATTCTTGTCGGCAGCCAAGGGTTGCTTCGTCCAAGAGGACCTTGTAAACCGGGGGTGAATGTTTGTCTAAGGGGGGACAAATTTGAATTCACCTTAGCTAACAGAGGGTTTTGTGCCCTATCGATCATATCCTATTGATTCATATCTCAAGGATTTGATGCCACTAAGGAGCGTATTGTCTCTGGCCATAACCGATATTTCATGGTGCCATTTGGCAGCAAAACAACTCCATTCAGTGGGCCTCGATCATAACCGTTTATCCTGCGGTATCATTTGGTGGCAAAACCGCCGGTTTGAGAACACTTACAACGTCCTTACTGGCAGGAGATTGTTTGAGAATTGATCCTAGTGATATTTTCGACTAGGTATTTCGCTCTTTGTGAGCTGAAGTAGTTTTCATTTTGTCCACCCCAGCAAACTATTACGGAGGTTGGATAGATTTTGTTTTGAGTGGTTGATAATTAAGTTTCAATTTTAAATATTTTTGAAATTTTTTAATTTTGGATTTTTGGGACATTTGAGGTGGCATTTGAAAATGTCTGAAATTAACCCCTCCGGTTGAGATTGGCATTTAACATGGTCATCATCGAGGTAATTAATATGGGGTCATTTTCATTTGAAAGTATTTGTATTTTATGGATGAACCTTATAAACTCCATCGAGTTATCGACAGAGGATCGGGTTTCGTAGGCTTTGTTCCTTTATTAGTGAATTCTTTTAATTATAGGCCTTGAAGGTCTAATATGAATGTATAAAATAAATATTTCAATCAACTTCATGATCGCATATTTATCCGATGGTTTGAACCCTGTCTACTCCTATTTACCTACTTAAGAGGATCATGTTTCATTGGTTTTATGTCTTTGTTAGTGAATTCTCTTGATTATAGGCCTTATAGGTCTAATATGAATGTATTAAAACAAATATATTGGTGCCCTTAACCATATATTTATTTGATGATTCGATCCATGTCGACTCCTATTGACCCGTATAGAAGGATCGGGTTCGAACTTGAATTCACTTATTGACCCGCGCAGCATCCCTAGACGTCACGTGTGTACTGATAACATGCTCGCCGGGGCTCATGCGGGTTTATAATTACACTTACCCCTTTGTGTATCTATGTGTATACAAACTACGGTGCACGTACTGGGGGCATTTTTGAGATACTTAAAAGATCTTCTACGATAACCCGTAGAAATTTGCATTTAATGTAGTCACTTTGTATTTTGCTTGTAAACAGCATATTGAGTGTAGAACAGATCTCCTATAATAGTTCATAGGAACTTGCATTTGTTGTAGTCCTTTTGTGTTGTTCGTAGATAGTATGTGATATTTATAGCGGGGCTCCAACAAAAGCTCGTGGGTGCTTATATTTGTCGTATTCCTCATGCACTTTGTTGTGCTCTTTGGCTCATGTAGTGCATCCGCCACTATTACAAGTAGGCAAGTAGATGTATTCTTTCGCAGACTGAAATTGACTACGAAATACTGCATTTACTGAAGTCTTTCTGTATCTACCCAGAAGTGGCATGTGACGCGTACATCTATCTTCGTAGAGAGCTTGTATGTATTGCAGATCTTTTTATCTGCTACGAGAAAGTATCTAGTACGTATGGTGGACCTCTTGCAACAATTTGAGAGCTCTTACATTTATTATATTTCTTTTACACCTACCCAAAGACAACAAGTTGAATGTGTAACGAGTCTTCTATCACTGTAACATATCTATTATGCCATTAGTGTTAACATATGACTTGTCATACGCATCATAGTTCTTTCATATTTAGCGGTAGCTTCAGAATGCTCTCAATGATTATTGCCCATTCGATATCTTGCTTTCATTCAACGTGAAGGTTTTGAGCATTTGTAGGAAACTTCATTTTATTGATCATAGGCATATTTTCACATGCCTTGTAATTTTCATTAAATGTTGCTCAAGGATAAACTAGCTTCCAATGTTATGAGTCATTGTTTGCAATCAAATGATGATTGAATTCTTTTTCATCATGAGTTTTATGCCCGCTCATTCTTATTGGTTTTCAGTATGTGTAAGGAACTGACAAATTCACTTGTATGTCACTCATACATGAAGACCTCCTGCAATGAGTTCCCTGTTTTGTTGATTGTTATTTATTTGGATGACTTGGATTCATCACTTAATGCTTATATTTTTGTTGTGTTGTTGCAAAAAAGTTGTGATTACAAGTCCTTCATTTGTAGATAATACATCATAGTTGTGTGGAGTCATCATATTCACCATGTATCCTTATTGATTCTTGCTTGCAAGCAAATCATGTATTTTCTTTTGAGAACAACATATCATGACATGGAATTTGATTAAGTTATCTATAATTCATCATTACTTGTAAGCAAGTAGAGTTTGCAAGTCTCTTATTATCCACAAATTCCATATATTCTCTTTTGCATTTAACTTGGATCTTATTGTTTTACAAATTGTAATATCATTTTAAGTGCAATTTTGATTTGTTATCATCTTAATTCAAACATGAGTTCAATTCGAGTTCAAGTGCATCCTTTGTTCTTGTCAGCTTCGGTCCACATTCAAGTTCACTTCAGTTTGAGTTCAATTCAGCTTGAGTTCGAATTTATGTTCAAGTACAAGTCTTCTGCAGTCCAAGTCAAATCTTTGCTCAAATTCAAATGTTCAGGTCATGCTTAATATGCAATCAAGTCGAACTTGAGTTCAAACTCAAGTATAGTTTATTTTAGTTTGAGTTATTTTGCATTTAGTTCATTTGAACTTGATCTCCCTTGCATATGATTCAATTTTGTTCCAAGATTCACAAATTCGAGTCCAAGTAGTCCCCTGCTGTCTTGTAGAATTCAAGTATACTTCGATGAGCAAGTTCAAATTCCTCTTGCTTGAGTTTTGCTTAAGCCATTTGCTTAGTTATTCAAGTTTGAATTTAGTTCAATTGATGTCCAAATCAGGTTCAAGTAAGATTCAACGTTGTTCCAAGTCCTTGGATCTTCGATCCAAATTTCATCAGCCTCCCGGCGCTCCCCCGTTTAGGGAAAAAATCAAGAGGTAGCTTTCCCCTCGACGCTACATGAGCGCTTCAGGTAGGTGTCAAAAGATACCGCTTTTTTTTTTTTTTTTAATCCTCGCCGCTACATGAGTATTTAAGGGTTTCGAGCACATTTTCTTTCCCCCCTCTGCACTACGTGAGCATTTGGGGGTTTCGAGCACATTTTCTTTCCCCCCCTCTGCACAAACGACAATGAATCTCGACGAGAGATAGGCGACGGGATGGGGGAAGAGGCGTCCAAGCTTGCGACGGGATGGGGATCGGGCAGAACAGTGGTCATGAGGTCTTCGGGAGGTTGGCAGTGGCTTCGCGTGGAGGAGGTGAGTGTGGGGGAAGAGCATCACATGCTTCGTTTGGTCGGGTATTTAACAACGCGAGTGGAGTTACGGATCGCAGAATTTGAGCAGGATTTCCAGGACTGAGACACGAACGGCGCTGCTGCACAGTGTCTCGGCAAAACATCGGCAAGATTTGTGGGATTTAGGTATGTATACGAGATTTCTGCTCTCCTTTTTTTTTATACAGGGGTCAACAATAATTAAGCCAACACCGTTAAATATATTTGTTCACAACTTGCTAGTGAGACTTGTAGCTATGGAGATTCATTCCCGTCATTTCTCAGTATTCATTTAAAACTTTTTTATTTGATAACTGCCACAGGTGAGTATGTTGACCTGGTGAAGGCTGGAATTATTGATCCTGTCAAAGTCATGAGGACAGCTTTATTAGATGCTGCAAGGTAAAGTTTGAGAAATTCATTGTCGTTTTCTTCTATCGAAGTGCTCTATTTATAGCAAGTTATTTATATTGGATTTTTAGTGTCTCGGTTCTACTGACAACCACTGAAGTAGCAGTGGTAGATCTAGAAGAGGAGAAAGCTAACCCTGGAGCTAGTCGAATGCCGCAAATGGAAGACATGGATTTATGAGGAAAACAGAGTTACGCAAAACGTTAAAAGAAGCAAAATAATTTCTTGCTATGCTGAAAAGCGAATGTAATAGGAAAATTTTGGTAAAATAGCTGCTGCTGGTACTTCTTTTTTCGTTTTTGTACATTATTTAGATTCCATTCTACAAATTCTAGCTGTGTTCAGAGAATGATTATATTCGAAGATATGTTTTATAAAAATATTTTTTTTTTTTTTATCTACAAGCAATCAAATTGCCTTAAATTGACTACACTTGAAGATAGTTATAATTTTCTATTATAAGTAAAATTTTCACTACTCAGTTTATACTCTTTTTAGTTTGCTTTATCATTACTTCAATAAGATTAGAGAATGTCATGATATATGATTTAAATAGCATGAAAGCTGATTTGTAATTTTGCATTCTATGATCTTTCTATTCTTTTGAAATTTATTGAACGTATAGCTTGGCATGCATAGAGACTAATCTTTACTTTTAGGAAGGACTGCTGTAGTGGAGTCTGAAGTACATTTGGGGTTGACAATGCTTTTAGGAGCGTTTTGATTGCTATTGGGGTTGCAGATCTTGCGACTGCTGTTATTTTTGTTGTTACAGTAGCTGATTTTGCTTCTTATAAGCCTCTGATGACTTCTGAAGGAACAATTATTAGGTCAGGTGATCGGACGTAGCTCTACGTTCAGACGCCAATAACATATTGCCACGTGGTCTTACTCAATACCGCGCGGACCGACGACTTGACCCGGGATTGCTATGTTCGCGTATTGCTCGGTATTGCTCTAAGTATTGCTTGGCAATAATGAAAAATATCGCTCTGTGAAGGCCAATACCGAGAAAAAATCGGTATTGCTCGGTATTGGCTTTCACAGAATGGTAATTCTCGTTATTGCCGAGCAAAATCGACAAATACCGAGCAATACCTAGCAACACGCGAACATAGCAATCCTGTCTCTGTTCTGGGTCGGGGTTGTCGGGCCGCGCGGTAAATAGTGAGAACACGTGGCACTATTTTACTGACGTCCGAACGTAGAGCTACGTCAGGTGACCGGACCAAATAAAAGTTCCTTCTGAAGAGCTATTCAACCGGTTCTTATGTTTGATAACTAAATTTCTACTTTCTACACGCATCCCATCATATGAAAGCATAGGTAGAAATCTTCAATCAGATGGTGTTTTTTTTTCACTTATTAAATTTTCTTATACTTTTGAATAATAGTGTGTTTTTCATGGTAGTTGCATGCTTTTTGAGACAATGGCATATTCTTGATGCGGCATCATGCTTCTTAATGTAGTGACATGCGTCTTGTGACGGTATCATGCTTCTTATTAATGTAGTGGCATGCGTCTTCAGATGTTTGTAGCATGCTTTTCAAGGTTAGCATTTAAATAGGAAGGTCAGAGAAGATCGCGGGTTTAAAAGCGATTTAATTTATAATATTATTTTTTCAAATTAATCATCTGCATGTTCTTCGATAAACATTCTTAACGCTACAACGTGAAAGTCTAAGGCTGGCGGGTTAAATATGAATTTAAATTTTAAGTATAATCATATTTTTTGAAAGAATTGTTGTAGCTATGACTTGGATAATAAGAGAACATATAATTGTGAAATCTATCAAGGTTCTTATGGTATGTTCACATTAGGCGTTCAAGCCTTTTTTAAAAGATTTTTTTTACAAAATATAAACTCTCAATCTTAATGTTTGTTAACAAATTTGTAAAATTAATAATTGAACCCGATCCTCTATTAGCGGGTAAAGAGAGTTGATAATGTTTAAATAAGATAAATGTGAACTAATTAAATCCCTAATAATGACTGTGTCGGTGATGAATTTTAACCAGAGGGGTTAATTCTAAGAATTGAATTTTCATATTGCAACTTACAAATATAATTCAAGTGATTTCAACGTTGTCTTGATTATGGCCTTGTTGAAAGTGAAATATCAACCAGAGGAAATTCTATCATAAAAAATGCAATTTGAACTCAAATTATGCCCAATATTTTGTTTAGGGTTTAAACAAAGTTGACAAGATTTAAATAACAAAATAATATGAATTATTTAAATATCTAATGATAGCCGTGTTGATGATAAATTTCAACAGAATGGGTTAATTCTCAAAATTGAATTCTCACATGATGATGAATAAATATATTTCAAGTAATTTCATTATCATCTTGGTGATAGTCGTACTAAAATTAAATATCAACTAGATGGATTAATTCTCAAAATCTATCAAAATTAAAAATTCAATATCTATCTAAACTATTATATTTAAAAAGAGAAATTAATTATTTAAAGTAAAATTGATTCATCCTTCATAATTGTTTAGCAAGGGCAATGAATCAAAGAATAATTCTGACTTATTGAAGGCAAATGTACAGTTGAGAATATCATTAAGATTCATTCTCAAGTAATTCTCCCGCCAATAAGGATGTGACATATATCCTCTAACCAGTGGTTTGACCCAATGGTTTCCACATGTTAAATGGTTATGACCAGAGAGTCCTCTAGCCACATGATTTTTGTCACAGATAGGCATCACTATATTTCGGTCATGGTTGCTCATATGTTCTTAAATGGTTATCACCATTGTGTAGTGAATCATAGGGTAGACTTGATATGATACAAAGCCCTCTATTAGTTACAATCGACTTGAATTTGTCTTTTAAATAAATATTCATCCAAATTCTATAATGTGCCCTTAAATGAAACAGCTCGTGGTTACCAATAAGAATCATTTGGTCAGGTTAGGTCAACTATCTCATGTGACTAACTAGGGATCTTGATGATCTGAGATAACAAACCAATAAGATTTTGATCAAGTTCATAATCATTTTCCTACCATCCGCTTTAAACACAAGGTGATAATTTTTTAATTCTAAACATTAAAAACATTGCCATTTTATACTGAGTACTTAGTACCTATCTAATGACTAGCCTTAATTAAAAGTGCTCTCCCATCATTAAGAAAGGTAATTAATTATAGAGGTTTACGTTTATAAGAAACATAAACTTATATCTTAAAGTTCTAACAAATGAGGGTCAAGTATATGGGTAGTGTTTTATCTTTAACCCAATATTCCTTTTGAAAATTTATCCTGGAACAAAATCTGTTTAAACACTTCTCGAATAATGTGGAGAAATCGGGGACAGCAAAATTTTTAAAGCCCTCAATATACTTTGAACTTAATAGCATTTATCATCAGGTTAACGATAATATGTATTTTCTTATTGTGGCCTTTCTTATGACTTATTAAGGAAAATTTTTAGTAACTCAGTCATATTTGAACTTGTTGAGTCAATCTTATATACCTATTCGAGTGCTGGACTTGGGCTATGGAAGCTCGGGCTATTCCTGCTTGATTCTTGGAGATGGTCATTGTCATATTTGATACTCTTCTCATTTGACCTTCAATATTTTGGGGAGTTGAGGGATAAATCTCCAACATTTGTAGTTGTCACATGTATGCTTATTTGAAGGCATTAACTTTTGCTCTATATTTGCTTAATTAAATTACTTGCATTATTAGCAATTTTAAATATCTATTTGATGATCTTGGAGCTAAGCACAATATTAATTTAAATAAATATAAAATGTTGCTAGTCTTAAAGGGGAAATTTTGATGGTCTTTAGATCATAAAAAATTTAAATAGGAGATTATTTCATGATAATCTAAGAAAATGTTCTTGCCTTTACAAGTGTTTCGAGAAAATTTGAGTATATCTTTCATGATAATTTAGAATTGCATTTTTGCATTGCAACTGAATTTTGAAAATAATTTGAACATACCTTGCATAATAATCTAGAATTACATTCTTGCTTTAAAATAGAATTTCAAGAAAATTTGAGTATATTCATTGATAAACACAAAGAAAATATATCTTCTTAACCAGCAACTATAGGTGAAAATGGTTAATAAAAAGAACTAGGATAGGCTCTTGGGTAGTGAAAACAAAGAAGAAAATAGGAAAAAGAGAAGTGTTGACATATAGGATAGAAAAATGCAAGTCATTACATGGTAAAGCTCTGCCGCAGATCCTACGCCCAAATCTTGGGTGCATACAGCGACCCATCCCTCTGCAAAACCATTCTCGCGTGCTGGAATTTTTATTAGGTCCGGTGTCCTGATAAAGCTCTACATCCGGACACCGGCCAATTATCTGGCGCCACATAGCAGCCCCATTACCGCAGACCCAGCTCGGCGAATAGTAGGTTTATAGCACGTGCGTATTTTGAATGATGACGGCCTGACGACCCGACCCGAAAATAATGATACTTTTTCAAATAAAGAACTGCGGCTATTCACTTCGCTTTATCATATTCAAAGATGAAGCATTTTTTCTGCAACTGTTCATTTTCTTCGCATTCACAAGCATCTTCCGTCATTCTGAAGCAAGTTTCCAGTAGATTAACTTCATAGAAACAACGTCTCATGTTAGAATTTTTTTCTGAAGCAAATTTTTTTTCTCATATACTATTCATGGTAAAAAATTTAGAAATAAAATGTTTAGGGTTATGGTTTACTTACAAACTGTAATGGTTGCTATAAAACTTTGAATGTCTCGTGTGAAAACATCTCTAATCAATTAGAGCTTCATGGTCCGTACAACTCGGTACTACTCGGCACAGATTGGTATTTCTTGTTACCGATTGGTATTAATTTTTATTTATCGGTATAACTCAGTTTAAACATGAAGAGATTTTAAAAATAGTGTATATTGTTGGAAAAATATACATAAATTGTTTTACATTTTAAAAAAATATGTTTTCTATAATAGTCATTATTCGGTTTACATGCTTAGTACTGCTAGGGACAACTCGGTACTTCTCGGTATTAAAAGTTATTACTCAATATAAGCTTATATAAATCTTCCAAATAATATTTATCTTTATTATATAATATATTATATATTTTGTACTGAGTGAAATATTTTGAAAATGTTGGATATGAATCGGATAGAAAGCTCTGTAATATTGTTTGGTACTACTCGGTATTGAAAATTATTACTCGGTATAAGCTTAGATATATCTTCCAAATATTATTTATCATTGTTATATAATAAAGTGAAATTTTTTGAAAAGGTTGGATATGAATCGGATTGAAAGCTCTGTAATATTACTCGGTACTACTCGATATTGAAAATTATTACTCGGTATAAGCTTAGATATATCTTCCAAATAATGTTTATCATTGTTATATAATAAATTATATTTTA